TTATTATTATTGTTATTATTATATTTCAAATGATTCTCAATTACTTTTACTTGAAAAAATATACTAATTACAAGAACATATCGATGATGTACCCTTTCCCGTAATTGAACATCATTAACGAGGAGAGTGTATGTTAGAAATTTACTACTACGTATAGGTTTACTATCCATTGTTTACTTAGCAACGCAACGCAATACACGTAACATATCGTGCTCAATGTAAACGTATTGTGTGTGTGCAACGATGTACCTTATAATTAATTAGCTAAATAATCGTTTATATAACGAGTAATTTATAACGAAATCCTATTGGTTTTCGTTTTGATTTTTTTTAATGTTAATATTTATCTATCAATTTTTATATATTAGTCGATTTTGTTTTGTTTAAAAAATGATTAAAATAACAAATTTATTATATATTTATGATTAAAAAAATAAAAATAATATATAAAAACACCTATATATATATAAAAATGTTGATTTGTAAAGATAATCAATTTATAGATAGATATATGTTTTTATTATTAATTCAAAAAATATTCTATGTAAATTCTATCGAGAGAGAAAAAACTTAATTTTATAACGTCGTATTTTTATTCGATTATCGAATCAGTTTGAATTTCACCTCTGGCGATCGGATTTAATTAAATCGACCTTGCGATAGTATTATCTTATTCTATGAATTCTTCTTGAAAGCGTTATAAGCTTTTCTCTGGAAATGGAATGGTTCTACGAAAAGTGTAGTAGAGCTTTAACCGGTAAGTCCTCTTATGCGGTCCATTTGCGACAAGTGCATTTTCGTGCCTGTTGGTCAGAAAATACCATGAGGTTTGTTAGATGTCTGTACTTTTAGATCCTTTCGTTGTATAACGTTCTTCTTGTCGTAATTCGCGAACAAATAAATATAGACTAATCAACGATTTTATGAAACAACATCGAAAACAATTTTTAAATACTTTTATTTTTTTTTGTTATTAACATAAATTGTAACAGCGAAACATATTGAAGTGATATTTTTTTTTTTTTTAATAAATGTTTCTTTCGCGATAAAATTATGCGAGGACGATTATTCGCATAATAATACGAGACACAAAACGCAGGATAAAACTTTCTTAGCGAGCACTTGGATTGAACGTGAAACTTTAAACAAGACACAGGGAGAAATTTTATAGCTGGCAGATTCGAGCGTTTAACGACCATCTTTTACAACGTCTCCTGCGTATAAACAGTCCTGCGTAGTATAATGTACGAGATCCTAAATAAAGATGTCAGTGGAAATATCTGAATACTCAACTGTGAAGAAGTTACCAATTAGGCGACGAAAATGAGTTAAAACTGATATGTCGAAATATAAAAATTGTATCTAAAAAACAAACATTATTACAAGTTTTTAATATATA